TATCATGCAGCCAGAGAAGAACATGAGGGCAAGTGGTGGCGCAGTCAATCATGGCTTCCGCCACACTCTGGAAAGGGTCCTGCTTCCGCAGTGGGCCACACACTCGAGGGTTTGAGTTGACGGCATGCATCAATGCATGTGGCCGAGCTCCAACATGAGAAGCCAGTGATACAGAGCACAGTCGAAGTGGCAGCCCCTGCCTGTAGCATGAGCCAGAGGTCCATGCCGTTCCCATTTTTGCACACCCAGTACCCTCACGAGTCTTGTGCATCACCTGCCATCCGACGGCAGTCGCGCTGCACATGTGCGTGCGACCCTTACCAGTTGACAAGAAATTGATGAAACAGAACAGAGAGAGAGAGAGAGAGAGAGAGAGAGAGAGAGAGAGAGAGAGAGAGAGAGAGAGAGAGAGAGAGAGAGAGAGGGAGAGAGAGAGAAAGTTTGAGAGAGAAAGTTTGAGAGAGAGAGAGAGAGAGAGAAATTGAGAGAGGGGCCCCCTGGATATGAGAGGGTTTGAAAGATGTGAGAGAGTTTGAGAGACATGAGAGAGTTTGAGAGAGTTTGAGAGGGATGGGTGAGAGTTTGAATTTGAGAGAATTTCGTCCAGAAGAACGTCGAGGCTCTGGCGCCTTCTTTCACGCTTGCAAGCCAGACTGAAAGCCAGAGCCACGTCAGGATGAGAAGATTCACGATGAGAGAAAGTATTATACTTTTACCCCAAGTTGTCATCATATTTTTTTTGTAACGGCTAGTTTTTTTTTTTTTTTTTTTTTTTTTTGGCTGGACATGAGGATGGAGCTCAAGCGGTCACCGGCAGCAGCTGGGGTTGACGCCAGCCAGACGCCACGGGGCAAGCGTGGGAGGAGGGCGACGGGGGTGCGTGCTTCCCCCTTGGCGACTCAGCTGAGCCTTGTGGGGGCAAACTCGAGCACGCCTGTGGTCCAGAGCAAGTGTCATGCGCTTTGGTCGCGATCGTCCGAGACCCAGCCTATGCACGCAGCCGCTGTGCCCAAACCCCTGAGTAGGAGATCCATGGATGCTATTTGCTTGCTCATTGATAATAAGAAAAACGATGAAGCCTGCCACCTTATCGAGTCTCTGTGTGGGCTCAACTTTGTTCCACCTCCACAAGTTCACAGCTTTCTCATTCAACTTGCCGTGAGTCTCGTCCCTCCTCCTCGCCCCTCCGTTTGCTGAACGCCTCTCTTGTTGCTCACCATGTCATGGCTTGCAGCTGGATGCAGCCCAGCCAGCAAGTCTGGGTGCCTTGGCCACTCGCCTGCTGCACAAGTTTGCCCAGCTACATGCTCGTGCTTGGATTCCTGGTACTCCCCGACTCGTGCTACCGACCATTTCCTCACTGCTGCCAGCAAGCGCCCACCTGTGCATGTTCTCTGTTTCTCAATTGCCCTCCTTGCGCATGTTGCCCCTTTGCCTTCCTGGTGCTCAGGCCAGGCTGACAATGACTGGTTAATTATATGGCGTGCAGTCCATCCTCTCCGGCAAGGCCCAAGCGCCAAGCCTCACCTGGTCAGTTGTTTGCTTGGCTCAAGATGCGACCCTGCACACGCACGCGCACACGCCCTCATGCCCAAAATCACACGGACCAGCGTGCTCGTGCCCGCCAAGTCCTCCAACTTGTCGCAGAAGCAGCGTATCTGCCCGTCGATGCTCTTTCTGGTGCGCAGGTTGCGTCCCGATCCACTTGGGTGCCGACCAGACTAACCTCTTGGTTTTTGACGCTATTCGGCAATGGCCCTTGTCCATCCAGATGCAAGTCCCATGCGCAGACTGCTCAATCAGCATCCCAGTGGTACCCGAGCGGCTTGGGGCGAACTTGTCCAGGCGGTAGGATCACAAACGCTTCATTCTTTTCCAGCTTGCACTGATTCCGCCACGGCTCGAGCTGATCTGTCTTTGATGACGCTTTCCTTGCTGCTGCTTTGGACCTTTTCGGACACGCAATGCGCAGTGGGCCGAAATTGCCCAACATAACGATATCCCAGCCTTGTGGTCCCTTGGCCGCCTGCTTTCCCAGGTAATGCGGTTTTATCTGCGCAGTGCTGTCAAGTTTCATCTGTTGGCTCCGTCCCCCCCTCTTCGCAATCACTTACAGATGGCATTTGCTTGTTGGCAGCACTACAGCGGCGAGGTAGACCCCTATCGGCGCATCTGCTTGCGCGATGACATGGCACACCAGTGCTCCAAGTTGCCTCGGCGCCAGTGGCCTCTCGTAGCCCATCTACCACCTCAACTTCGGCTTGATCTTTGCTTACTACTATTTCTGGGGTGCGGCCTCGCTCACCCATGCCTTCATCATGCTTGCTCAGCCTGTACAGCCCCAGCCTGCTTTCACCGGGCCCCATCCTGCTTTCTCTTCCAGCGCGGCACGCATGCCCCGAGACCCAGAGGTCACTTGGGCCACACTCGAAAGCCACTGCTGGACAGGCACTCGCCATGGTCAGCGCGAAAGGGCTGCCGTGGATGATCGCTTGCAGGGCATCCTGCTCCAGGCCCTGCTGGAACTGCAACCCACTCAAATTAATGCCCACGTATGCCGGGCCTGGCTCAGGTACGCGTCCAGCCCCCTTTGTCCCGAAGTCATCCGCCTGCATGCGCTCATGACACAAATTATGTGTGGGGGTTTCGTTCCGCAGCGCCCCGGTGGCCGAGCCTCAAAAAGCCTTGGGTTCCCTGTTTCTGTCCCAGCGCTTATCCCGGTAGCCAAGACACCTGGCGCAGGCTTGGCTGACTTGCCCGCACTGCGTTTGCGCTGTATGCCCTGCGCACGCGCGCACGCACAGCAGCGAGACTGAGCACCACAATCGTGGCATGATCCATGTTCACAGCATACAGGAATACATAAATGGCAGAAATAGATTTTTGGCTCAGGTCATAAATATCAGTTGTCCCACTTATCCTGCCCAGCACGACCGGTGCCAGACCGTGACTTGACCATGCAAAGCGAGAATCAAAAACAAGAGCAAACACACATTCAAACACAATTTGAGTCGGGAGAAGTACAAAAATGAAGCAAAGATACCTCAGACAAAGGGGCGACGACGAATCGAGTATCGTCGACCCAGAGGGGGAAGCAAGAGCAACCGCACTTGTGTAACTTGGAGGCACAGCCCCCGGTCGTGGCGTTGCGTTGCTGGCCTTTGTCACATGCGCTCGCCCATCGTGAGACAGGCCTTCTAACATGGCGGCATACGTCCTTGAACGGACGGGAGCACGAGTAGCTGTGCAGGAGGATAATCATAAAGCATTGGTCCAGTTATTATCGGCGTACACACGGCGGCCAGTCGAAGAGATGCTGTTGCGGCGCGCGTTGCTCGAGTGTGGTGATGTCATGCTTCCACTCGAATACGGACCCCCGTTGGAGTAGCCCCCGCCACGGGATGGGCGCGCTGATAATCGGTTGCGCCTGGGCTCAGTTGAAGCGGGCCGAGAAGGACCTGGACTGACAGGCGGATCATCATTGTCCTCAAACACAGACACGGGGGGTTGATTCTGAGTACTGCTGGTTCGGTGTTGCGCTTCTCCAGACAGGGTCACGGTGGCTGACCCCGTCCTCAAAGGGTTGGCTGTACCCTCTGACTCAACTTGTGTTGTCGAAGCCTGCCGCTGTGGCTCATTGCTTTGTTCTTCCAAAAAAGCGGTCGAAGGGGCACCCGACGTCGCTTGTTCGACTTCGATCCAGTCTGCCTCAGTTGGTGCTTTGCTGGCTCGACGCATCGAACTTCGCTGAGACCGAACGCCTGGCGTCGAGGCCGGTGTGTTCTCCGCCGAGCTTAGCGAGGGGGCCGTGGCCCGTCGCGGTACGGGGGGTGCTTGGCCCGAAGAGCCGTCGGTGGCTGCGCCAACATCTGGCATGCTAGTGCGGCTCGGAGGCCGGCGGGCCTCGGGAGGGGACATGGGTGACCGCGCACTGATGGCAGTGTCAGCTCGCAGGCGCTGCCGCACCCCGTCCAGCCAGGCACTCTGGCTGCTACGGCCATTATGATCCACATGCACCGACTGCACTTGCAGGAATATGGGGTTAGCTTGCATTTCCTGGGCAAAGGCTTGCGGCTGCATGGTAGCAACAGCCATGCCATTGATGGCAACCACCACATCTTCGCGGCACAGGCCACAACCTGCGGCCAGGCCGTTGGTGGCCACTCGGCTCACCGTCACGAGCAGCTCTTCGGTGCCATCCTCCAGCTTCTCATGCTCCACGGCCACATCCAGTCCCAAAGGTTGCGAGGCCGCCGCCTTTTCGAGGATGACCTGATGCACTGGACCGTACGTCTTGACCGCGTTTTCCTGCTCTCGACGCTGCTCTTCGTCCTCCTCTTCAATGTTCAGCAAAAACTCGTTACAGTCATGGCACACGCGCACCGGACGTCGGGACGAGGACGTTTGCACGCGGTTGTTGCAACAGTTGGCGCAAAAAACCCCACCGCACATGCGGCAATGGTGGCGTCGCATTGTCAGGGAAAAGGCCAACTCGCAATTTTCGCACACGTCCGTGTTCTGGTGCCACTTGTTGAGGAATTTGCGACGGAAAAAATCGCGCTCAGCGTCGAGCTTGCGGCGCAGCTCGTCGATTTCGTTGAGCAAAGCATTGATTTCACGCTGCATCTCACGGTTGCGCTGCAAGAGGGCCGGGTCATTGATGTACTCGGTGCTGGGCAGCGCACTTTCTTCTCCCTGGTAACTGGCCAGCAGACGCCGCAGCTGCTCAATGGTAGCCTTTTGACGTGCAATCATCTTCTCATTCATGCGCTGCACCTTGAGCAAATTGTCCATCTGTTTCTGCAGCTGCTTGTTGTTTTCCTCAAGCAACACCACGGTGGCCTCGAGTGAGGTCATCTTTTGTTCCAGCACGATGAGCCGACCGCGTGCCGCTGCCAACTCGTCCGTCAGCTCTCGAATAGTTTCCGAAGCCACGTTCAGCTCACTCGTGACCTGAAAAAGCTCGTTCTTGAGCCGTTCTACCTCTGCCTCCAGCTCTTGAATGCGGGCCAAGCGTGCCTCAAACTCCTCGAGCAATTGACGCAGTTGCTCGGGATCAAAGCCAGAGCCGTCAGCACCCTCGCTCTCCCCGCCGTCTTCGCTGGGCAAGAGACCGAGCGCGCGCTTCATTTGCTGGATCATGTCCTGTAGGCGCGCAACCTCTTCTCGCGCTGCTTTAAGTTCCGCTTCGGCTTCCTGCAATGCTTCCTGTCAACGATAGGTCAGGCAAAAGGATCATAAAGCAAAAACGTGAGAAAAGAAAAGGAGGCACACGCCACACGTCGGGGCATGCCCGGCCAAGGCATCAAGGTCGACAGGGGTGCATGGACGCATGGACGCAGGACCGAGTGCAATGGCTACGAATGCAAAGGCCTGGAACGCACCTCGGTTTCTGCCAGCTTCTTCAAGAGGGCAGCTTTTTCAGCCGATAGAGAGTCGATCTGTTCTTGCTGCGCATCAACTTGAGCTTCGAGCTCAGCCAGCAAGGCTTCAAGCTGCTCCTTCTGTTTCATGGCCAGCTCGAGTCGGTGGGCCAGCTGGTC